GTAAATGAAATCCGTCACTTTTACTCTCAGCTTGGTCAGAGTGTACTCGTAGAGTCTCTGAAAGCGCTTTTTTAAAGTTATTAATAGTTAGTTTCTGTGATGCATACTCGTTTTCTGCATTTTGTATCTTGCCGAAACGCGGATATATAGAAGATCTTAGCACTACTTAGCATTACTGAACACTTCTGTACTACTACTAGTGTAGTAGTACAGCAGTGCTGTAGTACAGTAGTGCTTCAAAATACTCCTAGTGCTCAGTAGTACTTTTCTACAACTGATTATCGGATTAGTATTACTATTTTAGATAATTTTTTTATATTGTTTATAAAAAATATTTATTTTCTCTTCTTTATGTTTATTGTCTTTTATTGAAAATTTTAGTTATTACGATATTTAACAAAGGCTTTAAAAAAATACTTGGGCTTGTCAATTCTATACCCAAAATTTTATGAAAGTATACTTCTAAAAGTGTGAATACATAGCAAATTTAGGTGCATTTATGTGCATATTTACAAAATACACTACCGTTCATAAATGTGGGAATTCTAGCAATTTTCTCGCCTTTTATGAAAATGTAAGTATCTTTGTGAACAGAACGGGCAAGCTCAGACATTTTTTAAAACCTTTGTTAAATATCGTAATAAGTGATTAAAATTTTCAATAGAAGACAGTAAAACATAAAAAAGGGAAATTAAATATTTTTAATAAATTATATAGAAAAATTATCTGATATAGTAATACTAATCTGATAACATAACCTAAATTGCGAGATAAACGTATTTACATAATTATCTTATAATTGAATCAAGTACCACATCTCCCGACCAAATTGATAAAATGTTTAATGATTTATTTTTATGAATTTTATTTATTTATCGATTTTTGGTAATATTAGTTTTAATATAGAAATGAAAAATAGGACCATTTTAGTAAATATTTTTTAATGATAAAGTATTCAAAATAAAAAAATTTTCTTTTCGGGCTATGTCCGGGAATTTTACGTTTCACTCCACTGTGGGGAGGAGCTTCTTGTCATGCTCCCTTCTCACCCATAACGTAGGTGAAGGGGGGAGCCGCCTTTATCCCCCCCCCCCGCCTCTGGAAGGGAAAAAAAGAAAAAGAAAAAAAGAAGGGAAAAAATTGACGTCGACGGAACGCTCTTGCGTTGGGCCCGGGGGAAAGGGATAGGAAATATACCACTGGTGATTTCCAATCCCTTCCCAAATATGGGCCAAAAGACGGCCGCGATTGGGCTTTTAGCGGATAGGTGTCGTCTTGCCATCCCTCTCGGGGGATACAAGATGTACCAAATCTCACATTATCCCCGGGTTAAGTCAATTCCTGGGGGTGTCTTCCCCTTCATGCGATGATGGGATGAAAGAGTATATGAAGATTACTCTCACCTAAGGAAAAAAGTCTACCTACCCCTATAGTCTATTAGCCCTGGTCTCCCCTATGTATGTATGTCTTATTGTATACAGATACAATGTTTTTCTGGTCTTATACTTTTTTATATAATAAATTTAAAGTATAAATAGCAAATGCCTCTTATCGTACCTTGAGAATGGCGCTAACTCCAGCTGTTGCTACACCTATGGCTTTCATCATATTTCTCAAGTCATGTCTAAGGTTATAGCTCATAATTATATTTGTTATCGTGTATGTGACCATCGCTAAAAGCGTACAAATTGACCAGTAGTACGTGGACTTGTTAGATTTTGTAGGCATGTACCAACAACCACAAATGGTGAGTAGAGTTTGGAGGAAACTTTGGTATGTGCGATATGCTTGTAATTGTTTATCAATCATTTTAATTCATCGAATATTTCAATAAAACCTTGTCAAAAAGGATTTAAATCTAAAACAAATTGATTTTCTTAAATAAGAAAGAAAGAACCCCGCAGTAACCTTACATGAAATTCACTTTCAATGAATCAGCTGGTTTTCTCATATTATAGCTTGCTAAACAAAACATTTAAGGTATTTATCCGAGACATTAAGTTTATACATTTTCTTTTTAGATTTGAATATTATGTTCAAAATAATTGGTGATTATGCACTTTAAGGGACTCCGCGCTGATGACTTTGACCTCGACATATGTTGTCAAGATCATGACCCAGAGTGACCTTCAATAGGGTTTAGGTCGTCTTTCGTTAAAAAGTTATTAACAAAAAACTTTAAGAAATAATAGTTTATTTATGCTACATACAGTATTAAAAATTACTAATTTCTGAGATATTTAGACCTAAAGGTCTAATTTGTGTAATAAATCTTTCTATTTGTATTAGAAATTTTCTGCTTTAAAATATATTTTACGACTTTCTACGCGAAATGACTTTCACTCCACTTCCCCTAACCCTGCTTTAGGAGCGCACGACTTCCACGCGAAGCGACTTTCATTCTACCCCCCCCCCCCCCCCC